CCCCGGGCCGCCTGCCACTCTATGGGTGTGTCTAGACTACATGGTTTTTAAAAAAAAACTGGCCTTTTTTCAAAAAAACTATACCTGCGTCTAGACTATCGCCGTGTTCTGTCGACAGGAAATTGACAGAACGTGGTGGTTTTGTCGACAGTGGTAAACCTCGTTTTACGAGGAAGAACGCCTTTTTCGACAGAGATCTATCGAAAAAAGGTGTGTGTGGATGTAGGGAGCCAGTTTTGTCGGAAAAAAAGGCCTCCAAGAAGACGCTCTGGTGGACAGTCTAGCCTTTACATGTAGAGCACCTCTGTGGTTCCTGGCTGCAGCCTTGTAAAGGCACAGGCACCCAGACAGGCCTTGCTGTCCAGCAGCTAGCCAGAGCACCCGTACCAGCCATGCTAGCCATGTCCCAGCCTCAAGGCCTCCCTGGCCCTTCTCGGGACAGAGAGGAGGACCCACCCAGGGGCACCAAAAGGCGGGCACCAGCCTGTCAGGGCCAGAAATAAAAAACCTGCTGGAGCTCTTGTCCCAGGAAGATGCCTGCAGGCCCTGCAGACACTCCACAGGAATGCGGACATCTATGAGTTCCTGGCCCAGGGTCTGACCAAAGGGCATCACCCCGCACCAGGGCACAAGCGAGGGCCAAGGTCAAAGAGCTGCGGCAGGGATATGCCAAGGCCCAGGACGAGAGCTCCCGCTCCGGGGCAGCCCCAGAGAGCTGCCCTTACTACCAGGAGTTGGAGCAGATCCTGGGCAGTGGGGAAGCCCAGACTCCACTGCGTGTGGTGGAGTCCGGGTTACCCCACCACATCATGGACTGACCCCTGCAGGAGGAAGAAGAGGCGGGAGAGGTGGTAAAGCTGCTCCAGGAAGCGGAGGAGGAAGAAGAAGCAGCAGGGACCCTCTCCCAGGAGCCGGTCCTCCAGACCCCAGAGGCCTCCCAGGCATCCATGGACAGTGGGGAGGGAACATCAGGTGAGTGCTTTGAGGGGTCACCACACAAGGATGAGTTGGCAGTGTGGGGGGGCATCAAGTCCCATTGCCACTGTGGGGCTCCTATGAGGCTTTCAGGTCACTGCCCAACTCACACTGTAACACCCCTGAGTCTCCTGTGCAAAGGAGAGCCCCAGACAACCACGGCATGTCCTCAGGGACAGCAGGGGTGCACACAGACACGGATTGTCTCCTCCTCTTTCCCAACACAGCCAGACCCTCTACCCAACAGGGGAGCCCCACACCCGCCCCACCACCATCCCAGACCCGTGGCACCTGCAGGCACTGGCGGGTCTACACGGACCTGCTGAGGGAGCACGTTGTGGCCCTATAGGACCTCAACAGGACCCTCCAGCAGAGGATGGAGGCAGAGGCCGAGGCGCACCAGGTGCCACAATGAGGGAGCTCTTCGCTTTGCCTGCCATTGTCATAGGCACCGCTCCTCCTGCACGCCAGGCCCCTGCTCCCCCCGCCCCTCCAGTCCTCTCTTCCCCCACCCCCAGCACCACCTACTCCTGAACCCTCACAGGCCCAACATCTGCTCCCCACTCCTGCCCAGGCCAGGACTAGGTCTCACTCCACCCAATCCCAAGGCCGTAGTGATGCCAGGACACAGGAAGGTGGGAAGGTGGCAGGACCCTGTGATCAGGGAAGCAGCGGCTTACTTTAGCCCCCCCCCACCTCCCGA